TTCTAGAAACTTTGCAATTCTTAGCCCCTGAGGTGAGTACTGCTCTGTTTTGAAGTATCTCCCAATTGGTTCGGTAGTGTGGGAAGCCACAGCAGTAGGTGGTGGACTTGACATTTTACTTTGAAGACCTAGGGAGTGGTGTGGTATCAAACTTCTGGAGCTTCAGAGTTTGGGGACTCTACAGCAATGAATGGCAGCTGGGTGGCCCCAGAAGTTGGGTTCCCTCCTGGAACTCAGGCTAAGGGCTATCAAACTCTAGGGTTGTGTTCAATTATGTGATCCAACTCCCTTTGCTGGCCTCTGTGGGTACTGCATGTATGTGGTAGACATATGCCCATGCATGCATATGCCCATATACTCATACACAGTAAATAAAAAGTAAATAAATCCTCAAGAAGTAGTTAGTGTAAATGGGATAACCTCTGAGATAGACTCAAAAGGCCCCCATTTCTGACACCTTACGTCTCCTAATTGCCCCAGTGTGCTTCAGTTATTGGTTAATGACTTAGGTAGTATTTTTGCAAATATGCATTGGATTCCTTGGTAATAGGATAACAGAACATCTGGGAGAGAATGTGAGGCAGAGGGGTAGAAAGACTTAATCGCAGTCTGAATTTAGTTACTATGTAGTTATATAGTGGAAATATTTCTATATATTTTCCTCTTATTTATAAAGCAAGGTCAATCACTTATTTTTTTTAATGGCCCTTTTCAGTTTTGCCTGTTTCTAAATGTCATATAAATAAAAGCATTGAACTGTAGCCTTGGAGTTTCTCTTCTTAACCAGGCATGCAGACTGGAGATTCATCTGTATTGTGTGTTTGTTGGCTCAGTTTTATTTCTCCTGCTGCCCACCGAATTTTACAAAATGTAGTTTTGTAATCAAGAGAGGTATAGATGTATTGCTTCTGTATTCAAAGCAAGAGGAACAAGAGGCAAAGTGGTCAAGCAACTGAGAACAAAAAGATGCTGAAATGCGGTGCAGAGGTTAGTGCTGTGGTCTGCTGGTACAGGGAGGAAACTTTTGTACGTCATTGGTCCATCCTTGCTGGCTCTGAAGCGAGAACCGGAAAGACCAGGATCTTAACTTCACAGAAATCCACATACCCTCAGCTGGGCCTGTGCCCTGTACCTGGTGCTATACTTGGCCTCGTCTCTGTCACAGCCTTCATTCTATATTCTCAAGTATTTTTTCTTTTTCTGTCTGTTTTTTCTCTGGGTGACTATGTTTATGAATGAAACTGGCATTTATTTTCTTTTTTATACTTCTCTTTGCCAGGTTATGGTATGTAGGTTACGCTGACTTCAGTAAATGAGATGGGATGTGTTTTCATGTTTTGTTTTGTTGTTACTGTTCTCTGGGAAAATGTGTTAATTATTCATTGAATTTTTGGAACCATTCCTTGGATAAGTTATCTAGGCATTATGTTCTCTTTGGGGGAGTTTTTTGTTTGTTTGTTTACCTACTAATTCAGTTTCTTTAAATGTTGTGAGACTCTTACATTTTCTATTTCTTCTAGAGTCAGTCTTGATAAATTCTGTTTTCTGGAGAGTTATCCATTTCTAAGCTTCATTTTTATTACTGTGAAGTGGTTTATGAAGTCCTGTTATTATTATCTGTGTGTGCATACACGTGTGGAGTTAGAGGGCAGCCTCGGTGACAGTCTAACGTTAGCGCCAGCCGTGTTTGAGAAGGGGTCTCTGTTCAACCGTGGTCATACCGTGATAGCTGGCCTACGAGCTTCCAAGGATTCTTGTTGTGCCTCCTTCTTCTATCAGGGTTACAGACATGTGCTACTATGTCTGGTTTTTGGGTGGCTTCTGGGGAGCCAAACTCAGGTCTTTAGGCCTGCAGAGCGAATGCAGCCGTGGTGACGTCTTTTCTGCTGTCCTAAGTGGTTTGCTTGCTTCCTCCCAGTTCTCTTGCTTCATCTTGCCAGAAACTTATGTTTGTTTTTTTTCTTTTTTGTTTTTTCATGCCGGGTTTTCTCTGTGTAGCTTTGCACCTTTCCTGGAACTCACTCTGTAGCCCAGGCTGGCCTCGAACTCACAGAGATCTGCCTGCCTCTGCCTCCCAAGTGTTGGGATTAAAGGCATGCGCCACCACTGCCCAGCCCAGAAACTTAATATTTGTATGATTCCTTTGAAAGAATCAAGCTGATATTTTTCTGTTGTGTGTTGTTTCCCCCATTTCATTAAGTATTGATCCTACTTTTATCAGTCTTCTATTTTCTTCAGATTAATTTGTTTCTCAGTGCTTTGATCTTTTTCTGCAGCATTTGACAGATTAAACTACCCTATCCTCCCCTTAGCTCTTGGAGACACTAGGATAAGAATTCCCTACCTCCTTGCTTTCTAATTGCCTGTTTGTCTTCAACCTGTTTTTCTCTGTATGCATTATTAGATAGCTTTGGATACAAGGCTACAAAGACTCAGCTTGGTAATAACTATTCTACAGACTCTTTGGCCCTGGCCTGTCATTTCTTGATGCACTCTAGACTACTTTGGTGTTTATTTCAGCATCTCTAGACCTTCATGTGTTTAATAACAATCATGACCTTCATGTGTTTAAGAATAATCATCTTACATGATTCATTGGCCAGGAACTCAGCGAATAAATGCCCGCTTCTTTTTTTCCAGTGTTCAGTTCTCCCAAGCATGTAAACCCAAGTAGACCTTGGTTTTGCCTCTGAGCATCCCTGTCTTCTCATAACATCTCATACTCAAATTCAGTTGGGCTGTGTGTGTATATCCGGTCACCTTTCTTTGTAGCATGGTTTCTCTTTAATACCTTTCTTTTACTCATCTCACAATGTCATAGCTGTCTTATTAAAGAAATTATCTGCCTTTGCATCTTACATTTCTGTATATAGTTGAGTGGTTGTCTAAATGTCTTCTATTCTTGTATTGATGGTCAGTCAGTTACAGATACAAAAAAAAAGTGAAGACTCAGAAAAGCAAAGTTGATTATACTCACAGGTCCTGGAGACAGGAGACACACATGACACTCCTGGAAAAAAGTAGTCAGAAGTATTAAAAACAAAACAAACAAACAAACAAAAAAAAAACAGAAGGGAGGGAAAAGTTTAGACCACCACCTTCATTGGATTTTCGTTAGGAAATGCAAGGCAGGGCAGGATGAACACTCTATAGTTGATTAGTTTGAATCAATTTAATGCTGAGTATTCACTAAGCCTGGGAGAGGCATTCTCTTCTTAGCCAGACAAGTTTTTGCAGATGCCAACACATCCTAATTTTTTTATGGATCAAAATATTTACAGTACAACTACCATATACCTTTATCCTGTCTCCTCAAGAGGCAAAAGCATATCAATTAAACAGTATTAAATGCTGATTCTATTAGAAGTAGTCTTCTGTACCCAGGATGCTGGAAATCAGTCTTCGTATTATTTGACACTTTGCAATTTATAAGGAACTTGCTATCATTTAAAATGGGAACTGAATGTAGAATTAGTGTATAGCATTTGAATGGACTCTGAAAATAGGCTATGTAATGGTGAACATTGGCACTGTTTTAGAATTAGTGAAGCTGCTTGTGGTGGCACACATTTTATTCCCAGCACTTGGGAAGCTAAGGTATGAAAGTCATGAGTTTTAGGCCAGCCTGGGCTCTGAGACCCTGTGTCAAAATCAAAGGGCAGGAGAAAAGATATATACAGGAATCTGTACTTTGATATTGAAGAAATTATTACAACTATTTTATTTATATAAAGGATGACTTAACTGTCAGACTGCCTCTCATTAAAGCCTTTGCATCACTAGTAAATCCTCCTTGCTCCTCACAAAGTGACCAGTGAATTTCTTCTGTTGAAGTGAATTGCTAAGAAGAATGGCAGTAAGAGAGCCCACGATCCTCTCTTGGGTAGTCTCCACCATCCTTTCAAACAGCAAAAGTAATCTCTTCCTTAAAACCGCATAAATGCCATGCCAGTGTCAGCCCTGGTTGCTCCAGTCACTGTATCTGTGGGTTCAGTAACTCTTAGGATTGTCAGTCATTTTTTATTTTTGTGCCTGCTTTTTAAGCATTGTTGGTGTTACATACTTGTCCTACCTTTTGAAGAGAAGTCTTTTGTCTTAGTTGCTTCTCTGTTGCTGTGCTAAAACACCATAACCAAAGCAACTTCCTGAATCAAGTTTTCAGAGAGTGGGTCGTGACCATCAGGCCGGGAGCATGGCGGCAGCAGGCAGGCAGGCACGACGGGCAGCATGGCTGAGAGAGCTCACGTTCTGAGACAGCTGCCACGACCACCAGGCAGCAGCGGGGCTAACAGGGAAGGGCATGGAGTTGTAATGTCTATGGGGGCCATTGTCATTCAAACCACAACTCCATTTTATTATATTTCCTTTTATTTTTAGTGATAATCTTCTTTATTCTAGAGAATTTCATACATGTATATAGTAAAATATTTCCCTATTTTCCTCCCTCAGCTCCCCTCATATCTCCTAACATGTCCCGATCTTAACTTCATGACTTTTTTGTTTGGATGACCCACTAAGTCCAATTAGTGTTGCCCGTATGTGTATGGGTTTGGGGTCATCCACTGGAGCACAGGAAACCTATTAGGAACACCCTCAAAATAGATTGGTTCTCCCTTTTACAGCAACTACTAACTGCCAGTGGCTCCTCATTAAGGGTTGGAGCCTGGATGATATTCCCCATTGTGCTAGAATTTTGGCTGGTTTGATTTTTGTGGAGGTCTTAAGGAGGCAGCTACAGATGCTGTGAGTTCATGAGTACCTTAGACATTTCACATCCAGAAAACAGCATTTCATAGCGCTTCTCTCCATATTCTGGCTCTCTTCTGACTCCTCTTCCATGATGTTCTATTTCCATTTTTCTGAATCTTTTCTTCTCTTTAAAGATATTTAGAAAAGTGACTATTCAAAACAAGTTCCTAATGGATGCTGGTAACTGGAAGTTGAGTCCTTTGCTTCATTTGAATTTATTTTACTTACTAGTTATTTTGCTTGCTTTCCAGGCACACAAACGAATGGCCTGGACTTTCAGAAACAGCCTGTGCCTGTTGGAGGAGCAATCTCAACAGCCCAGGCCCAGGCTTTCCTTGGACATCTCCACCAGGTAGACTGTTTCACCCAGCCATAGCTGAGAAAGCTTTTTAAAGGAGACATAAATTCTAGGGAAGTTATTTCAAATCATGTGTAACTATCCTGCTGAATGATTCATATAGAATTAATAGTTTTTGCATAGTTATTGACTCTACAGCTGTGTGAACAAAAGAATATTTTGTTGGGACATACCTAATACTAGGTTAATGTTGTGCATGAGCATGAACTTGAATCTGTGATGGCTGAGTGATGCTAGTGAATTACCAGTTACCACTACCCTGAAACCATTGTCGTGTAGGTGACTACTCAGACCCTTGCTTGACTGTTAGCATCTAAGTTTCAGATTTAAAAAACGAGTTTTAACTTAACTACTCGATACCACATGATTTCCCCCCCAGTCTAAAACAGAACATGAATTCTATTCATTTAATTTACTTACCACTCTTTTCATCAAAATGTCACTAGACTACCAAACCACTTTTTTAATAAAAGCTGCTCTACTTGAAAATAGGTGATTCTAGGAATTATCCTCAAGTTTTTTGGAGTTTTGCTGTTGTTGTCGTCATCATCGTTTTGGGGTGGGGGTGGGGCAGGTTCAAGACAGAGGCGGGTCTCTCTGTGTAACAGCACTGGCTGTCCTGGAACTCACTCTGTAGACCAGGCTGGTCTCTAATTCGGAGACCCGCCTGACTCAGCCTCCTGAATGCTGGGATTAAAGGCGGAC